ATAAAAAAAATATATATATATATATATATATATATATATATATATGTGTGTATAATGTATTCTCTATGTAGTATGATAGTATGAATGAAATCAGGACACAGATGGTGTCATTATCATGAAGTGACCAGTTGCATGCATTGCTGCAGTATAGGTAATCTGGGCATACTTTTTAATTATATCCCAATGATAATTAATTAGTACTCCAATGCACTTCAAAAATAGCAGCATAAAAGGTATTTTAAAGACTATTTATAAAAATAACCACAAAACATGCTCACGTTGGAAAATATTCTCTTTTAACCTCAAGCCTTTGAAAAATAAACACTGCAGAGGAACTGTGGCAGATAACCAGTAGCGGGAGCTTATATACAGTAAATGTATGTGTTACAATATTGAAATAGCAACCGACGAAACAATCCAGACATTTATGATTTTATTATAAAATCATAACCTCACTATCATTACATAGCTGACAAACAGCAACACAAAAAACGGACCTTTTCAAATTTCGGACGTTGCCCGTGACGTCGCGCCGCGCTGAGCGTGCGCTGAGGTCATTTCCTGTTTGTGCTCCAGTTGAGTCGCTAGACGGAGGCCTATCCGCGATACCACCACTACCGTAACAACGCTCACAGACATACAGGACGGCCACGGCGAGCTTTTCAAACGCCTAAAACGCGTCAAATAGGCGTTGTGGGATGAGTTTGGGCGACCGGGTTCGAGTTTCGGGCCACTGAGGGGCGGTTTGTGAGGAAATTCGGGCGGTTGGGTGTTGTTATTTTTGGGGCAGCTGAGTGGTCATTGGCAGAGCTCAATACACAGCAGCTCGCGAGAGGAATAAACACACGTTTCACGTCTCTAAACACCCTTGTTTCACTCCACTTACATGGGCTTTTGAGGATTTTTACATTTCAGTTAACCAACACATCGCAGGAGGATAAAAGTGGAGGTAAGGGACTAAAACGTGCATCGATGATTGATGGCTAGCGTGATGTTTAGCCTAGCCCGAGTCTCTATATTTAAATTGCTCTTAAATTTTATGTTTTGTTGCGCTTTGGGATACATTCCCAGACAAATCTGTTTATCAATATGTATTTCTCAGGTTTACCGTACAGATAAACCGCATCTCCCGTCGTAACACATGTTTGTCACTCCGTTTTTCTTTACAAATTAGTTTATTAAATACAAACACGCTTATAGATTAATTTAAACCCATTTGGCGCTTCTGCTGATCTCTCCCGCGGGGTCCTTGCTTGCTGATCCATTGTAAGTGCATCATTGTGTCTTGACGGAGATCTCAGTCTATTAAGTTAAAAAAAGAACAGCTGAGTTAGTGGAAGTGAGAGTATATTATCGATCAGGCCCTTTACACGCTGTACAGATGCATGATGTATGTGGATCTATAGGGTGAACTCACCCTATGCTGTATGATCGATCAAACTGATGCCACTTTGCCTTTGGTTTTATTAATAGAGCTGCCATGCTGTTCCACGTGGAGTTCAATGCAATTATGTAGGCATGTTTGAAATATGGAAACTTTATTTAAGGTTAAAGTAGTCCGATGTTTGACAGGTATGAAATAATGCATCTGTCAGGTTTGTGCATGAGGCCTGAAGGTTATTGAGGTTAACAGGGGTCAGATTCAGGACATCTCTGTGTGGAATTATTCCACTCGGTACAGAAAGTGTGCAATCATTAGTTTGTTGAAATGGTCACAGCTCTTGTTTGTCTTTCTACTGTGGACTTCAAAGTGCGTGTGTGTGTGTGCGAGAGAGTTGTTGTTGAAAAAGAGGAACAGACAGACCACTGACCGATTGATACACGCACACTAGATGCATGTATATATGCCAGCAATAGAGACGGATGGTCATTGTGTTTTTAATGCCAGTGCATGTGTTAAGAAGTTGTGTAATGGACTAGCAGGGGCGTCACAAGGTGGGGATTTTATTTTGCAGGGATAATCCAGTGTTGTGCCCATGGTGATGGGACAACATGCCAGATCTGTGCCAGAGGCACTGCTATGCCAGGAAACTCCTCTGGCACAGTCAGACTGATCATATACAAACAAAAAACAGCTTTTTTTTTTGTGCTGTTTGTAAAGGCAAGAATCTCTATTACTATTGTATAGGTTTAGTAGTTTAAAATGCTGAACATGAAACCATGACATGCATTTTGTCCAGCACTGTTTGTTGTACTACATATTTGAAAGATGCTACTTCAAATTGTGTTTTTGTTAAGGATATTTATTAAGAGATCAATGATAGAAAATGAGCAGAAAATTCCAAAGATTAACATTAAAGTAAGGACCAGAGCCATATCAAGGCTCCAGAAAATTAAATCGAGCTGAAACTGGGCTTTTTGGACTTGGGCCACTCTACAAAAAAAAAAAAGAACAAACAATAATCTTAAAAAAAAAAAAAAAAAAGTTAAAATATTCTGTGACAAGCTAAAATTTTCTTCTCAGATTAATTTAATAAAATATTAGGCTAAGATTTTTTTTTTTTTTTAAATATCTGTTTTATATACTAAGTTCACTTTTCTTACCACTCTGCCAGTTTCTTTTCTTCTTCTTTTAAGCTTAAATATGTAACATCATTTGGTAAGATTTATCCTTAAAATAATTTACACATTTTCAATGCAGTAAGAAAAATAAATTCATTTTGGCACTGACAATAACTCTTATCATCTTTAATATTTTGCACAATGTCACTATTCAAGTAGATTTCTCTAATACCTTGTTTTAAGCATTTAGAAGGGTTTTAAGTATTTCTTTAAAAGGGTTGCACCAATCTTAACATTCTGACAGATATAAGCCAGTTATTATTTTAATGTTATGGTCAACAGATAAAAGGACAATATTTTGATAGTTTTGACCCTCATGTTGTTCCAAACCTGTATGACTTTCTTTTGCGTCATTCTTAAATTGCATGATTTTAAAGAGCAGGTCATATGGGTTTTTGAAAAATATCTCTTTTGCAGTTTATAACGTAGCTATCCTTAAATGAAAACAATCTGCAAAGTTGTTAATCAAAAAAGTGCATGATAAATAAAGATATTGTCTCTCAAAAGAGAGAGTCAATTCTGAATCGCCTAAACGATTCGTCATATTTTCGGATCTTTTGCCTGTTACCGGTATATGTCACTGGGTAACACATTTGCATAATCCCGGCCTGCCCGCGAAATACGAACAGAGTCTGACCTACCCACAAACACTTCCGCTAGTTAGTGTGTTTACATCATGTTGAGAAGACGCTGTGTTCAAGGGATACCACAGAAATACAATTCGAACCTTTTGTTGTGTGCATGTCATTTTACCAAGGACTGCTTCTCTAATCTTGGCTTTTATCTTCATTGGCATCTTCTATCTTCTCAATTTGGACTAACAAGCTCTTTGAAGCACAACCTGTAAGTACGATTGAAACGTTGTGTACATTTTCAATTGAGTGCTCAAAATATCAAGTTTTTGTGCTAATATGTGATGTACACCTAGTGCAGCTTTAGGTTTCCAGGAAAAGCACGATATTACTGTCTTACTGAAGTAGTTCTGATTAGTGATCGACCGATATTGATATTTTATAACCGATACCAATTATTTGCATGTTTCTGTGCCCGATAACCGATATGCAGAACCGATATTTATTTACTGCTATAAAGTAAATAAATGACTGAGTGAAGTAAGAACATACTTCACTTTGGATTTTCCTCTTTTCAGTCATCTTTTTTTTTTTAAGTGTTGAAAATTAGCAGTCTTTCATGTTAAATTCAATCTTAACATTACAACAATAAAAAACATTTTATTTATAAAAAGCATCAACAGCAACAACACTAATATTAACAATAAGCAAAATAAATGTAGAATGTCTAATGTTTTCAAATGGAGAAAATAAATAAAGGACAGGAGTCATATCAACTTCCCGGCGGGTAATTTTAATTTGTTAGACTATTTTATCTACAGCTCGTTAGAGGTAGAATTCTTTAGTGAAATAAAGATGATATTTATTGAAATGAATTCGAATTAATTAAGGAGAGAGAGAGAACGAACGAACGCATGCACCCACGTGTGAGATATTTGAATTATTTATTAATAAATTAGTGTTTTCTGAGTCCGTGTTGCAAAGATGAAGACGACGATCCTGATCCTGAGAAATGCATCTTTACGGATTGTATAAAATCCGTAAAAGAGTTTTTGATTTGAATTATTTAGTTTTAAAGTAGTAATTTAAAGCTTTCTATAGATATATTTAGCAAGTTTTTGAGGCAAGTATTCGCTGAGTTTTGGTTCATCATTGTGAAACGCTCCTGGCCGAAATTGCAGAAAGCACATCCTATATGTATCCTTTATTTTATAAAAGCACAACGCTTTGTTGATATTGTATGTGCACACAAATAAAAGTAGACCCTTTACAGTTCCGAGTGATGTATTACTCTTACCTTTATGAGCAATAATTACGGCATATTTTAAGTTGTTTCCAATGCAAGTAATCGCGCCGGCTCCTCCATGTCCTGTAAAGCGCGCTTTAGCTCTCCACACAAACGATTAGATATGCGTCTAACAGCGCACATTTATATAGGTTAAACATTTAAACTAACATTGTGATATGCTTGAACTGTTTTATATCTATAGATTTTATTTTAGGCAAGTCGTGATTATTTGAGAAGGCTAAATTGATCAAACATAGGCTAAGATCAACTCACTGTCTGCCGCTGGCCGCTTGGTCGTTACTTTAAAAAAACAAAAACTTACATTTAACGAACAAAAAAAAGCTCCAAACGTTTTTCTAAATTAACTTAATAAAAAAACGAAACGAAATATAATCACTTTGACATTACATACAAAACTGAACTATTTTCGGACTCGGGCCAAGAATTCTGATGAGCTGTCGGACCCAGGCCGGGCCGGGCCAGAGCCTATATTTGAGGCCCGTGCAGGGCTCTACTGCAGAGTCAAGAATAATTCACTGGATAATGTTAATTCACTGAATAATATTCTCTGGAATATTGGAATATAACAAACAAAACATCGTATTTTATTGCATTTCTCAACTGAAATGTTATATCAGAATTATTAATAATGTTTTTGTCCTTCTAGATTATGAAATGCCTGCTGACAGCACGGTTTATCTATGCA